AAAAAAATATGACAAAATACAAGACCCTTTCAATTCAATACAGTAGAAACTAACCCCAAACCAACATTTTATTTAATGGCAAAAGACTGAATGCTTTCCTTTTAAATCAAGACCAAGACAAAGAATTTTCTTCTAGAAACTCCCTTTCAACACTGTACTGGAACTTCTAGCCAGGTCAATTAGGCAAGCTGGGTATGGTGGCACATGCCTGTAATCCCGGCAACTAGGAGGCTGAGGCAGAAGGATACCAAGTTCAACAGCCTCAGAAATGTGGTGAGGCTATAAGCAACTTAGCAAGACTGTGTCTCAAAAATAAAAAATAAAAATGGCTTATGATGTGGCTGAGTCGAAAAGTGCCTCTGAGTTCAATCCCCAGTGTCAAAGAAAAAATAATTAGGCAAGAAAAATAATATGTGAATAATCTGAAAATGGAATTAAGAAATTAGTTCTTTTATAATAACAAAAAAGAATAAAATGTTGAAGAATAAACTTAATAAACAAAAGTGCAAAGTACATACTCTGATACTGAAAACTCTATTGCTGAACACAGCGTAAAAAGAATTTAAAAGGAGATTTCAAGTAGCTTGGATTACAGGCATGCATTACTGCACCTGACCTTTCCATATTTTAAGACAGGAAGACTTAATATTGTTTCCCAAACTGAACTCAAGATTCAACAAAATCTCTATCAAAACTTTTGCAAGCAAGCCTGTAATCTCAGATACCTGTGAGGCTGAGTCAGAGGATCACAGACTTGAGCTGATTTGGGCAACTCTGTCAGATCCTGTGTCAAAATAAAAATAAAAAGTTAAAAATAAAAAGATTTAGATATGTAGCTAAGAGGAAGAATACTCACCAAACATGCCTAAAGTCTGGAATTCCATTTCAGTATTATAAAGAAAAAAAATTCATATATAAAGCTGTTCCTATGATTCACATGGAAGTGCAAAAAAACACCCAGAGAAGGAAAAATAATTGAAAGGGGGTAACAAAGTTGGAAGACTCACACTGTCAAGTTTCAAAATATAATAAAACACTAGACATTAAACTGTGTCATACTGTCATATTGATAACACAAATACAATTGGGTTTTCAGAAATAACCCTAACATGCAGACATGCAGAATTATTTATAATAGCCAAATAACAGAGTTAACCAAAGTATTCAGCAATGAATGAATGGATAAAGAGAATACAGTTTACACACACACACACACACACACACACACACACACACACACACCATGGAATACCATTCAACTTCAAAAAGAAGAAAATTCTACCATTTGCAACAATATGGATAAAACATGTTAAAATAAGTGAAATAAGTCAAACACAGAAAAACATATAATGCATGTTCTCACTTACACGTGGGATCTGATGCAATCAAACTTGCAGAAGCACTTAGTACAATGATAGTTACCAGGGCTGGGAGGTGAAGAGAGTGAGACATAATGGTCAAATGGTACAAAGTTATAGTTAGGAGAAAGAAATAAGTTTTTAAGGTGATGAATATGTTAACTTGTGGAGACAAGTGCATGGAGTACTGCATACATGGCATACGTTACTGGCATCTGAGTGGCAGGCCACTCCTCTCATGGTAGGCGCGTGAGCGGCAGACTGCTTACTCCACAGGCACAGCCCTGGTAGTGAGGCCATGTGTTGCAGTCCCTATGCTTGCTCCACGGCCCACTCCTCAATTGGTCACTGCAAGGACAGTTGGCAAGAAATTGTATTGGTAGCTGCCTATAATCTGCTTAGCTACTGCCTTAGTATATATATGTGGTAACTGTGCAATAAAATCATGACCTGCTTCCAACTTGGTCTCCGGAGGTCTTAATTAGTGACTCCGCAGCCAAACTCTCCTCTACCCTTTTCCATGGACACACTCTCCTCTACTCTGTTCTGTGTACACACTCTTCTCTACCCTGTTCTGTGGACCTCCTCACTGGACGAGAGAGCCCACACTTCAACTGGATTGATTCATTCATGCCACACTGTATAAATATAATATTACATCACTTTATGTGCCTAAATTATATACGAATATAATTTGTTAAAAAAGAATTATACCCTTACATTTATGGTTATCTGATTTTTGAGAAATGTGCCAGGAAAATTCAATAGGGATAAAATGGTACTTTCAGTAAATTAGATATCCACGTGCAAAAGAATGAACTTTAATCCTTACACTATACCGTACATAAAATGTAACTCGAAATAGATCACATATATAAATATATAAGAGTATATATTTGGAGTAAATATTCATGACCTTGAATTAGGCAAATTTTTCCTAGCTATGACAAAAAAAAAACGTAAGCAATAATAGAAAGATATAAGTCCACTGTCAAAATTAAAAACTTTGGTAATTCAAAGAACTTCAAGAAAATGAAGACAAACCACTGACTGTAAGAACATATTTCTAAATCACATATATGACAGAGTAGTAATGAAAATATATAAGGAACTATTACAACTCAACAATAATAAGACAAAATTCAATTTAAAATGGAGAAAGGGTTTGAAAAGACATTTCTCCAAACAAGATATAGAGATGGTCATAATCATATCGAAAGATGCATCACCTATTTAGACATCAGAGAAATGTAAATCACAATTACAGGGAGATAAAATAGTCACTAGAATGGGTATAATCAAAAATATTTTAAAAAATTGCAGGAATTAAGAGAAATCATTCAAACAGTGTTAGTGGTATATAAAATAGTAAAGCAAATTTGGCGAAATTTGACATTTACTCAATTTATTAAACAGAGAATAACTTTGTGATCCACTCCTACTATATACTCAAAAAAATTTGAAACAGGTGTTCAAACAAAAAATGTACACTTGTATTTATAGCAGCATTAGCAGTAACAATCGAAAAGTGCAAACAACCAAAATATCCACCAAATAATTACTGGAGAAACTAAAAAGCATGATTCTATCTACATGATGGAATATTGTTTGACAATAAAAAAGCGTAAGTACTGACATGGATGAAACTAAACTATGTGGAAACTGGGGGATACCTATCAGCAAAGACAAGGTATTTTTATGATTCCATTTATATGACATGTCCGTAATAGTAAACCCATATTGACAAAAACTAAGTTACTGGGTGCATAGGGCTGAGAGAGTGGGGAGATAAGGAGAGCTAATGGGTATAGAGTTTATTTGTTGGGTAATGGAATGTTCTAAAGGGTTGCACAATTCTGTGAATATAACTAAAACCCACTGAACTGTACATTTTAAGTTTGGGATTTTATAGTATATTAATTATATCAAATGAAGATGTTTAAAAGGCTATCATGGTAAAATAACAATTTTATTAACAGAATGGTTACTATTTACATAGGAATTCAAAATTATATTTGCTAAATAAAGGGATGACTGATAATATTCAGTGACAGGAGTGGTGGGATGGGGCAGAAGATCAGAAGATTCAAATTAATCAAATATAAATATCTCTTAATAAATTTTATTTGATTCTTCAAAAGAAATTTATTTTACAGAGCAAAAGATTAGATCAATTTCAATCTTCCTATATTTTAACATCTATGACTGAGTAATGAAATTTATGTGAACCTTCCATTTTACTTTTTGCTGAATGAATAGAATATCTAAATGAAACCTGGCATCACCAAAATTCTCTGAATTTAGACTTTCCAAGCATTAATTAACAATCTTTGCTTTAAAATTCTCTTTCCCCCTACACTTACATTCCCAAAGAAGTCTTGACATTTAACAATACAATCAACAACCAATTTGCATTGTTTGGTGAAAATGGAATCTTTACTGAAGGTCAGATATTTTAAAGACCAAATCAGCTCTAAAATACAAAATTAGCAAATTTTTAGATCTGATTTACAAATATAAATATACCAAACATAAAATAAAAAGTAGCAGGGATTATTTTCCCAAATACTGTGAAAAATTTTTATAAAATGCACCTTAATATTCAGAATTGTATTTGCTTTTCTTTTATTGTATCTGCCAGACATACATTTCTCAGAGTTCCATTTAGGAAGACTCAATTTAACCTTTTACTTTAAATCCACAGAAACATTAATTATAGGGTACTGCTAATACACATAAACACCTTAAAATACATCTATTTTTGAATAATTATTGTTTATAACAGTGTTAAATTTCTTGATACAAAATTAAAGGTAAACTCTTTCCATGAAGAATATTCCAAATATCATCTGCAGTACTTAATAAAGCTTAGAAAAAGACAAGCTAACTTTTAGGACTTCCCAAAATCCATTATAAAACACCCTACTTTCTAGAGATCTATGCAGCTTTTTTGTAAGCAATAATCAAGATAGTTTGACTCTGGTGTATATTCCAAATTCAGGACAAAAAAAAAAAAAGGCAAATACTGAATGTTTTCTCTGATATAAGGTGACTGACTCATAGTGGGGTAGGGAGGGGGAACATGGGAAGAATTAGCCGAATAGGGCAGAGGGGTGGGAGGGGAAGGTAGGGGGAAGGGGGTTAACAATGATGGTGGAATGTGATGGACATCATTATCTAAAGTACATGTATGAAGACATGAATTGGTGTGAACATACTTTATATACAAACAGAGATATGAAAAATTGTGCCCTATATGTATAATAAGAATTGTACTGCATTCTGCTGTCATGTATTTATAAAATAAAATCAATTAAACAAAGAAAACTTAGAAATTTCATTCAAATTGTTTTCTTTCCATTATTTTCTCTTTTATTCCCTTCCCAACCCTCTAAAAAAGATAAGGACTCACCTAAAATTAAATTATATTAAATAAAATTTATATTACTTAGAAACTCCAGGAACACACACATCATGTTTCTAAAAGTAGTGAGTTTATTTCAAAGCATCACATTAAATTTGAATCTCAGTCAACAAAGCCATGTCTTCTTATATGTTGATTTTTGCAAAGAGTACAGACTTGCAAACAACAGATATGATAAAGTATTTTAACGTAAAAGGTGTTTGTTTTTTGTAGAAATAAAGTAGTATGGAACTAGCATACAATGTGAATATCTTCTTGGTAAGTGATTTAGGCCATGATTCTCATCTTTTAAAGTTGTTAAAAATATTTTAAATGTTGCTCTGCTTATTTGATACTTGTACTTTTTGATAGAACCATAGGAAAAATCTCTCTACTTAGATTAATGTACTCACATACTATATGCCTAAATTGAAACATAAAAGTTATATATCAAGAGATAGTGACCTTCATGATTAAAAAGTTTTGTTAAAGGGAGAAAAATCACTAATTTTTTTTTTATCAAAACCCTAAACAATCAAATCTTGGGCAATAAGTACCAACATATTTTATAAGAGTTAAGGAAGTATCTAAGCTCTTTGTAAGAGGATGCCATTTTAAATTTATTTGTCATCCCACTTCCATGACAAACACATAAACATTCCACTGAAGCAAGCAACTTAGAAATGTGGTTCCATAACTGTGTAGTTAAAGAAGAAACTTGCCAACTAAAAGCATTTATTATTTTCTTGTTTGGCTTCGATTTTGTGGGAAGTCACCTATTCTGATCTCCTAATATGCAATGAAAGTCTACATTTATAAGCTTGGAAAACTTGTGGTTCAGTACATAGAAATTTCTTCTACAAAAGAATGGGAATGTTTTGATTGCCAGGAAATTACATTGTTTAACATATCACAAACATTACCTGTAAGTACTTTGAATCACAATAAAATCACATTAAAAAGGTACACATTCTTGTTCACCAAAATTAATGAGGCAATTTGGGAACAAGAGACAGATTCTCTCAATGTTAAGCTTTAGATATTCTTAACCTGCAATAAAAAATAGTTTAAAAAGAAGTGTGTTTTCTGTAAAAATCAGTGAAGCACATAAATGCCTTGGCACAATACAATATTATCCTATGATACCTACTTCAAAATGTATGTTCATCTCCCATTCTCCTCACCATCATTTTCACATTTTAATTATGCTTTCCTTTTGATTGCTTGCATGCAAGAACACCAACTAAACTATTTATTTCAACATTAAGCCTGTTTCTTTTGAAGCCAAGATTTTTTTTTTTTTTTTTTTTTATTTAACAAACGCAATGGAGACTCATTTTTCAAGACGCTTAAGGCAGAATGGCTTAAGGTTCATGCTTGCTGCTTTGCCTGGGCTTCTGCTTCCTGAAATGAAAAACAAAACGAATATGTTTGAACATAAAGTGATATCCATGTGTATTTTTGTTACACTACCAAGGATATTCAAAAACAGTCATTACTCCCCCAAAATTAATACTTTAAAAAATTACTAATAGAAAAAATATAAAGTGGAAATAGCTTTCTGGAAATACATAAAAACTATCTAATCATTACTACTGGTTTGGAAAAATTCCATAACAGTAAGTGATTTACAGTTTATAATTGATATTTTATTTAAGAAGAGTCAGCTGGTTCTTTTTTTATGATTTTTCACAATAGCTGAGTTTTCAAAAAATTATTAACTAAAGTTTTGTTAAGTTTTGTTTAATTAAGGATTAAATTACTTAGAAAATGTGGTTATCCACTCAAGGATTGTGATTTTTATGTTTCATGACAGTAGGCAGAAGAGATCAGATTGTTTTCCTTCTCTTCTAGACAGTGGGTAATCTAGCATAAGGAACTCTAAACCAAACTACATACGTTTTCTAGCTCAACAAAATAAATTTCAAGTTTTTTGAACTACAGATTTGTGGCAAGGGGCTGGGGTTGTGGCTCAGCGGTAGAGTGCTCGCCTAGCACGTGTGAGGCTTCCAGTTTGATACTTAACACCACATAAAAATAAATAAACAAAAAAAATAGGTATTATGTCCAACTACAACAACAAAATAAAATATTTTTTTTAAAAAAAGGTTTGTATGCCCTTCAATAGATGAATGGATAAAAAAAATGTGGCATTTATACACCATGGAGTATTACTCTGCACTAAAAAATGACAAAATCATGGAATTTGCAGGGAAATGGATGGCATAGAGCAGATTATGCTAAGTGAAGCTAGCCAATCCCTTAAAAATAAATGCCAAATGTCTTCATTGATATAAGGAGAGCAACTAAGAACAGAATAGAGAAGAAGAGCATGAGAAGAAGATCACCACTAAACAGATACGAGAGGTGGGAGGGAAAGAGAGAGAGAAGGGAAATTGCATGGTAAAGGAAGGAGACCCTCATTGTTATACAAAATTACATATAAGAGGAAGTGAGGGGAAAGGGAGAAAAAAACAAGAGAGAAAAATGAATTACAGTAGATGGGGTAGGGAGAGAAGAAGGGAAGGAAGGGGAGGGGAGGAGAGGGAAGTGGAGGGGAGGGGGGATAGTAGAGGATAGGAAAGGCAGCAGAATACAACATACACCAGTATGGCAGTAGGTAAAAAAGTGGATGTGTAACCGATGTGAATCTGCAATATGCATATAGGGTAAAAATGGGAGTTCATAATCCGCTTGAATCAAATGTATAAAATATGATATGTCAAGAACTTTGTAATGTTTTGAACAATTAATAAAAAAAAGAATAAAAAGGGTGGGGGGGAGAATCCCTGGTCCAAGTGTTGGTATATTTTCATTAATTTTTAGTTATCCCTTTACTTCTATATACACAATTCTTTATTTATTGTATTAAAGTTACTTTATTATTTAAAAAAAAAAGGTTTGTGGCAAAAGTAGCTTTGGCAAAAGTAACATCAGTCTTAGGTTGCAGAAATCAAGTATACCAGACAACAATCCTGAAAAATCTGTCATTAATTTAATATGAGTTGATCTAAGGTGGAAACAGGAGCAGCTGAATATTTCAAAATGAACCTAGAAGGGGGAAAAGCAAAAATAAATGATGGGCTTTTACACCCTTCCAAAAAAAGCAAAACAGAAGAAGAAAGGTCACCATAGATTTTTTTTTTTTTTTTTGTGGTGCTAAGGATTGAACCCAGGAACTTGTGAACGCAAGGCAAGCACTCTACCAACAAAGCTATATCGCCAGCCCAATCATCCTTAATACATCTTTAAAAAAACAGATGAAATATACTACTGATCACTTTCTAAAATGTCTAGTCAGAATTAAGAAAGGGAAGTTTCTAACTTCAAAAAAGAATAGATCTTCTATTCACATTATATGCCTTGTTTCATTTTATAGAACAAGTTTCAACAATGTCCCAGCAGAAAACAAATTTTACACCAAGATTCATCAAATGCCTAAAATATATAGCATGGGAGCAGTTGTATAAGCAGTTATATAATAATAATATAAGTCTTTCTTCCTATGAGCATGAAATACCTCTGAGTAACCAGTATTTTAGACCAGTTTAGCCTCTTAAAGTTATATCAATCTTTGCTATAATTCGTCATAAATTCCACAGCTCTTCAATTTTACTTCTTAATTACAAATTACTAAAAGGCAAATCACATTCTTTGTAATTAGTCTTAAGAATAAATCATAAATTATTTACTTTTCTACTTACATTTTATTAATAAAACATGTAAATTGATTCAAATTTTATTATTCCTTGAAAGAAAGTAGTCAATATTTATGGAATCACAAGTCAACCAAACAACCAGCAATCTTTAGAAACAAGAATATGAGGTGCACTCTCCCCTATTCCTAATGTAAATATCAGACCATGGTTTTGAGTCAGGTAATCCCGGATTCAAATTCTTATACTGCTACTCAATTATTATGTATCTATGGACAAATTTAATGATTGGAGTTTCATTTTTCTCCTGTGTAGAATGGTATTAGTGTCACTTAATTCTTAGGGTTAATATAAGGATAGAATGAGATGTGTGTTAAGTGTAGCTAAATGCTCACCCCATTACAAGCATCCATTCCTCCTTTTTCCCTCTATTTTTTCCCCTAGTAACCCAATCCAAGTCCTTAGCTAGCATTATCTGTCTTGAAGAGGCAGTAAGAATATGATGAATTAAGCAGAAATAGGATTGCCTTCAAATTTCACAGCAGAGGCAACACTCCATGGTCCCTCCCTAGAGCATGATGATACAACCAAAGCTAATGAGAACATTTCTCTTAACGAGCACTCTCTATTCCCTGAACACACTGGTAAACATACTTCTTCAAGGTAGTCATTTTCTTTTCAGCACAAATATCACTAGGTTTGTTTTTTAGCAAAAATATCAATTATTTTATTTCATATCTCAAAACCATAACCTTCACTGCAAAACAAGAAACTTCAGTGCTAAGATTTTTTTGAATTAATAAAAGAGTAATTTATAGTATTTATGTAACTTTTAAAAACATCAAATATACAAATGTATGTAAAAATATTTTGTCTTCTAGAGAAAAATCCTTGTTTTATGAAAATATTTCTCAGAAAGAGTTTTTATTTATTTTATTAAATTATTTATTCTAATCTGTTATGCATCATGGCAGAATGTAATTCATTTCATATTACACATATAGAGCACAATTTTTCAAGTCACTGATTGTATACAAAGTATTTTCACACAATTCATGTCTTCGTACATGTACTTAGGGTAATAATATCAAACTCTCAAGCACAATAGTTTTTAAAAATATTTAAATGTAAAGAGTATGCATATTAATTATTTGGAAATAAAGAATGAGAGAAAAAGATGCATATGGGCTAAGGTTCCTTTAAATCACACCTTTTGTCCTATTTATAGGCTATAAATTCAACTAGAAAATTATACTATAGAAATTATTCTTGAACTAATTTTAATATTTTTTCCCTCAAACTACTCTTGTTTCCTCTTATTCATATAGGACACACTTCAAGACTCCCAGTAGGTGCCTGAAACCACAGAGTACCACACTCCCCTATACTATGATTATATATATTCCTATACAACCATATCTTCAATAAAGCTTAACTTATAATAAATTAGTCACAGAGATTAACATCCATAATAATAGAACAATGATAACAATATACTATAATATGTTATGAATGTAGTCCCTCTGTCTACTGACATGGGGGTAAGGTAGTGCATACAGAGTGGATGAGTTGGACAAAGGGATGACTCATTTCCTGGGTGGGATGAAGTGAGATGGTGAGTGATTTTATCACAGTATTCTGAGCAGCAATTTATAATTAATGAATTACATCTGGAATTTTCCAGTACTATTTTCAGATCACAACTGCTGTAGGTTAACTAAAACTAGAAAATGAGATTGTAGGTAAAGAGGGACTAGTGCATATATTTTTAAAAAAATGACAGCATGTGTTCATTGAGTAGATTTAAGTATCTTGTTGACCCTATATTTTTGATAGTTAACTAGTTTCCAAAGTTCAAAATATATATAGCACTTTTTATTCATATTTTTATCCACAAAGTTCATTTAGGTGGTGCTATGGTTTAGATCTAGAAAGTCCCCCAAACTATTTTGGTTAAAGGTTTGATCCCTTAATGCAGCAATATTCAGAGATGGGTCTTTTGGGAAGTAATTCATTTATGAGGGATTCAATATCATTGATGGATTAATCCACTGATATATTTTAAATGGAATGGACCTTTTAGAGGTGGAGGAAACTATGCTATAGGAGATGTGCTCTGGAAGTTTATATTGTGTTCCCAGCTCCATCCTTGCTTTCTCTCTTTCTTGACCTGCATTAGGTAAGCCAATATGCTTTACCACCTGCTCCCCACCATAATGTGCTGCTTCACCAAAGGCACAAAGCAATGGGAACAAGTGGTCATGGACTGAAACATCCAAAACAATAAGTCAAAATAAATCTGTCCTTTACTAAGATGTTTTTTCTCAAGTATTAGAATTTTGGTGGATTAATTTGGTTGTCCCTTCTGTTAAACATGTAACTTGCTAAGTTTTACATGTTGATTTGTGGTTTTATCCATAAGATTTTCCTACATTCATTAGACTATAATACCCAATGTGAAATCATTAAAGTGTGATTTAGTCAGCTTTTTGTCACTGTTACAGGAATAAGGCAGAGGAGGATAAGTTTATTTTGGCTCATGGTATCAAAGGTTCAATTCATAGATAGCCTATTCTATACCTTGGGCCCAAGGTGAGAACATCATGACAGAAGGGAATGGCAGAGGAAAGCAGCTCAGAAATCGGCAACAGGAAGGGGAGAGAGAGAGAGGGAGAGGGAGGGAGGGAGGAGAGGGGGGGGGGAGAGAGAGAGAGAGAGAGAGAGAGAGAGAGAATGAATCTCTGCTTACCATAGACAAAATATAAACCCTAAAGATAGCACCCCCCCACCCCAGACCTACTTCTTCCAGCCAAACTCCACCCACCTACAGTTACCACCAAATTAATCTATATTGGTGGACTGAACTGCTTATTAGGTTACATACCTAATCATCTAATGATTTCACATCTGAACATTTCTTGTACTGTCTCATACATAAACTTCTGACAAGACCTCATGATCTAAACCATAGAAGAATATAAACATTTTTGAAGTATTTGATATGTATTTTGCCCTTCTGTTTTTTCTAAATGGCACCCACAAATTTTTACTACCTCCAGTACTGAATTGAATATTTGTTTCAATGAACTCTTCTCAGCACAGATTATTATCATTTTGTTTTAATTTTGCTGATTTCATAGAAGACAACTGCATTTCATTTTACCACATTTCTTTTACTTTCAGAATACTTTTCCAATGTGGGCTATTACTTGTATTTCCTACTTAGCATACTTTATGTTCAGACAGTTATTTCTTGAAGGCTCATTGTCCTGTTCAATGCGGAGGACTTTTAAAATTGAGCTAAAGAATGGAAAATGATATTCTGATATAAAACTTATCACTTTTAGTCTTGACAAAACATATTAAATATTTTTAAAATATTTTGGTTATAGATGGACACAATATCTTTATTTGATTTTATGTGGTGCTGAGGATCGAACCCAGTGCCTCACACATTCTAGGCAAGCACTCTACCACTGAGCTACAACCCCCATCCAATGTATTAAATACTAACATTTGAAATCTCCCTATTATCAATCCAACCTTTATGTCCATTGTCAATTCTAGACCTGCTGTTATTAACCCAAGATATAAACTCCCTTTTTTTTTTTCTTTTGTATTGGGGATTGAACACAGGGGCACTTAAGCTCTGAGCCACATCTCCAGCCCTTTTTTATATTTTTATTTAGAGATGAGTCTCACTGAGTTGCTTAGGTCCTTTCTAAATTGCTGAGGCTGGCTGTGAAATCACATCTTCCTGCCTCAGCCTCCTGAGCTGCTAGGATTATAGGTCTGCACCACTGCACCTGGCATCAGCTTCCTTTTATCTAATCCTTTATAACATACCCTGTTGTTCTCCTCTATTCCTACTCCCAGGTTTAAACTATGATAGACAACAAACAAACAAACAAACAAACAAACAAAAACTATCACCAAGCTGACTGGCTCATGGGTTCATCAATTTTAATTTTCACTGGGCCCTCGTTCAGTTATTTCTATATTTGCCTATCCTCAACAAGAGAATTCTTTCATTCTTTTCAAAATTCTAATGTTGCAAATTTCCCCTCACTCCTAACAGGTAGCTTCTCTTCCTGCTTCACACTGAAGTTAGAATACTTTCAAACCTAAACTTTCCTGACCTTCCCACATATTAAAATTTCTCTTTTTAATACACCTCTTCTCATTCCTTTCAATCTCTGCAGAACATCACATGTTCTCTCCCAAGACTCTCCCTCTCCCTCTCCCTCTCTCTCTCTTCCTTAATGGCTTTTGTTTCATTTCCCAGTCACCACACTGGTAGCTTCAAACCCTTCCAATTCTTATATACACAACCATCTCAATTATTGCTAAAATACTGAAATAATAACATCACTGCTTTCTCCAATTCCTTTTGGATACACAGAGGTAAAAGTGAAACTACCTAGTATAGCAATCATAATCTGGCCCCAATCTACCTAGCCAGTCTCACCTTCTCTATTTAATATTACCTATTGTGAAGTTATATTGTACTACACTCTGCTTCCTCAACATATTCTCATGTGAAACTACACCCCCAATTCAGTGGTTTCTATTGTTAACCCTGTGAATGGTGCCTTCATTATTTTGGAATCACCAGTAGTTAACATGACATCCTCCTCTGTGAAAACTTCCCTAATCTCCTTAGTAGAAATTTATGATTATTTCTTCTTAACTCCTACAATAATCTGTCATATCAATCTTAGACAATCATGTATCTTTTTTCTTTTTCTTTTCTCTTTATTTTTTGCAGTATTGACAATTGAACCCTAAGGGTATTCAACCTCTGAGCTATGTCTCCAGCACCTATTTTTTTTTTTTTATTTTGATGCAGCATCTCACTTAATTTCTGAGACTAGTCTCAAACTTGTTATCCTTCTGCATCAGTCTCCCAAGTTGTGGGATTACAGGCATGGACCACCATGCCTGGCACAATATGCTTTGAATTGAAATTATTGTTACACAATCTTTGTTACATAATTATTTGCACATATCCCCACTTGATTATAAACACTTAGGATGAGGTACTATGCTGTGTTCTATGTCTATGTCCCACCATTAATGTCCATGCTTGACACTCAATAAATACTTGTTGCATGAATGAGTGAATGACAAATTTAACTGAAGGAGAGAAAGTTAACCACCACAGAAAACATTATGTTTTCTTTTATTCTTCCTTTCTCTGCACTAACACAACAACTTAACCTGGGTCTTATTAATTTAATTAAGCCAAAGTGCCTTACCTAAAGTTTGTTATGACTGAAAGTATACAAAGCCTAAAATGTGACATTTTATTCATGGGAAAATAAAGTTTGTCAAGGAAACAATTTCACAGTAATACAAAATGCTAATAAAATGATATCTAGTGAACACACAGACAATAACATAAGATCAAAATTGGAGAAGGAGCTGAAGTTTAAATAACCTTTTTAACATGAAATCCATTGCTAAGAGCATAAGTCAGATTGATAAAATAGGGGCTTTATATTTTGATTAAACTAATTTGTGTACAGAAGGCCCTATTGCAAAGGCAAAGGTATATTTAGAATTCATAGCTTCAAGACATTTCATTAGATAGGCGATTTCCTTTTTGTTTTCTTTATTTGGTCTCTCCTGGGAACACTGCCACTGGAAAAGTCAATTTGTTTTGGCAGGAAAAATATCCCAAATTTAGCCAGCAATTTAGTGAACAGTTTTGTAACTCAAAAGTCTTACTTAACTTGAACAAGTAAATATCATTAGCTCTCACACAAATATAATGAGTCCACTAAGGAGAGAGCTTACCATTACAACTAAGACATGTTGTTCTTGTAGACAGTTGGATTAGTAGGAATTTTAGCAACTGCTAATCACTTATTTTTGAATGGTTAATGATAAAATTGGTCTTGGGTAGCTTGATAGGGAGGTCACTCCACCTACCATATACTTTTTACACAAACATTTTATAGCTTTATGTGTATGATTACACACATTTGTCCTACTAAGGCTTCATTGAATGCAGAATAGGGACTTTTAGCAATGATGCAATGCCTTTGACTCAATCTGCATGCTTAATAAATATCAGAATATTACTAATTTAAAAAATCCTAGCAACAATAAAATGATCTATAAAGCAGGGAAAATCAAATCATACCTTTGAACCAGGTGGTGCTGTCAAGCCTAAAAAGGCATAGACTGCATTATTTTCTCGAGCTTCAAAGAAGGCATCATAGTCCTTGGTGAAAAGAAGGCAATAATAATTAGCACCGTGAAACTAACAAAGGAAAGAGATTAATTCATAACAACCTAACTGTTTGATTAATTGTGTCATGGGGGGCAGACAGGCTAACTTCCATAAAGATAGAATTCTGGAAGGAATAGTAAAGAGACAGGTTTTTCAATCTCTAGTCTTTGGGGCCGAAACTGCAGAATGTTTTTTTTTTTTCTATATCACTTAGAATTTATATCTGCTTGCAGCTTCCTCCACTACCCAAAGTAGTTAACTATTTGCCAGTAAGAGAATATTTCTGGTGGGAGATTGTTGTGCCAGTACTCCAAACTTCTCTTCCATTATTCATTGAGATGAAGATTTTTTCTGATTCTACACTAGACCAAATATTATCTTTAAATGCCAAAGACCAGAAGAATGGTGAGTCCGTGCCATATTTTGGGGAGGGGAATGAGATGTTCATGAAATATGACCACAAGAGCAACAAAAACACTAAGAGGATTCTGCCTTTGGGATCCAAGAGAAGCCTCATGCAACTGAGTTTGGTTAGGCTTCCCACTACCACCCTGTAAAATACCAAACTAATTTCTCCAAAATTAATAAGCAGACTTGCCTAAATTTGACGATGACTTATAATCAATAGCAAAAATACTCAGAAACAGTCATTGTCTGCATCTGGACAATTGGATATTTAAGCATATAGAAAGAAGCCTGGAATTTTAGCTGATTTATTAAAGCTTAAAAAATTTCATTATTTGCTGGTTTCTCTAGAGAGTGCCTCACCAATAGATTACCAAATGTAAAGTTAATTCTAAGTACTTTTTATTTTTTCTGGGCATTTGGAGGATCTGAGAAGTTCAGAGCTTCTCAAGCCAATGACACCCCTTAAACGTTTGGACCTTACTCCAAGAAACCATCAGAGAGTAATTTTCCTCATATTCAGAATTTCTTTCAGAACAATCAGAATTTCTTTAAAAATGTTTTATGAAAATCACTGCTGAGAGAATAAAAAGATGAGTTACAGGTAGGAAAATATTCGCAAAATGCATACATAGGAAAAAAACTGTATCCAGAATAAATAAAACTCACAAATTTGAACAGTAATAAAATAAATAGCCCATTTCAAAGTAAGTGAATTAAATGAACAGACACTTAACAGGCTATAAGGATGGAAATAAGCCCTTGAATGGATGCTCAATACCATAAACCATTAAGCAAAATGCAAATTAAACCACATCAATGTTTACAGCAATACAATTCACAATAGCTAAGCTATGGAACCAACTGAGGTGCCTTTTAACAGATGAATGGATTAAGAAAATGTAGGATATATATATATATACACAATGGAGTACTACTCAGCCATAAAGAAGAATGATTTCATGACATTTGCTGGTGAATGGATGGAACTAGAGACTATCATGCTAATTAAAATAAGCCAGTTCCAAAAAGACAAATGTTGAATATTTTCTCTGATAAAATGGACACTAATTCAAAATAAGGGGGATGGAAACAAAAGAATAAAAAGAAAGATCCATGGAGCAGAAGAGGGGAATGAAGGAAAGGGAGGAGGGATTGAATAGGGAAAGACAGTGGAATGAATCTGACATAACATTCCTATGTATGTGTGTGTGTGTGTGTGTGTGTGTGTGTGGTGTATGTGTGTGTGTGTGTGTGTGTGTATCACAGTGAATCTTACCATAAAGTATATCTAAAAGATACTAATTTTAAAAATAACTATAAGTAAACAGCAGAATCATCAGTAGAATAGAGGGAAGGGAACAGGGGGAGGAAAATCAGGGGAGGGGAAGGGGAAGTACTGGGGACTGAATTAGAACAAGTTATATTCCATGCTTTTATAATTATATCAAAATAAATTCTATTGTCATGTATAACTAAAAAGAACCAATAAATAAAAAAGTGGACTTCAAGGCTGGGATGTGGCTTAGTGGTGGAGTATCTGACTGGCATGCATACGGCCCTGGGTTTGATATTGAGCACGGGTAGGAAAAAAAGGATCCCAAAACTTACCTTTATGATTCTTCATAAGAGGTATTCATATTATTCATCTTGGCTGCTCAACATAATTATTTTGATATGTATATCCTAGAAATATGAAAATAAATCCTACCTGTTCGTGGCAATTATTATGGGTTTTATTTATTTTTACTTTTTTTTTTTTTGGTACGAGGGATTGAACTCAGGGGTTCACTGAGCTGCATCCCAATTTTGTATTTTATTTAGAGACAGGGTCTCACTGAGTTACTTATCACCTTGCCATTGCTGAGATTGGCTTTGAACTCATGATCCTCCTGCCTGAGCCTCCTAAGTTGCTGGGATTACAGGTATGCACCACCATGCCTGGCTAACTTTTTAAAATGTAATTACAATGGTTTTGGCTTTCAGGTCAAACTATTTTCACATAGAAATAGTAATATCCTATCAATTCTTTAAAGAATTGTAACCTAAAATAAATAATACTATATTTTAGCTACTGTTTTTTTATGTTCTTGAACAATTGAGGCAGCTCAAGATTACTTCTCTCCAACTCCTAAGCAACTAATGAAATGCTACCACTATTTGTTATATGCGAATCAAATATTAAAATGTTTAAGCCTTTATTTTTTAAAAATATATATTTTTTAGTTGTAGATGGACACAATACATTTATTTTATTTTTTTATTTTTATGTGGTGCTGAGGATTGAACCCAGGGCCTCACATATGCTAGGCAAATGCTCTACCACTGAGACACAACTCCAGCCCCTGTTTTAAGTCTTTAAATGCCTATAATTATCTCTATTACAGATATATGCCTTTGGTGGCAAAAATAAAAATAAATCAATTAAAGTGATTTAATTGCAAAAAAAATTTCAAGAGACACCAAGACATATCTTTTGATTTAAAAAAATGATAATAGTGATGGAAATGTAGCTCAGTGAGATAGCATTTGTCTAATATGTATAAGGCCTTCAGTTTGATCCTCAGTACTGAAAACAACAAAACAACAAAAACTCTGACAAAACCAAATACTGAGAGTATTACCGAGTATCAGGAATGATCATACGTGAGAATGCAAAATGGCTCAGACAATCTGAAATCATTTTGACAGTTTTAAAATTTAAAAATGCAATTACCATATGAGGCAGATTCCTTGGAATTTACCCTTGACAAATGAAAATCAGTATTCATACAAAAATGTCAAGCATGTGGTACATGTTTATAATCCCAGTGACTTGGGAGGCTGAGCAGAAGGATCACAAGTTCAAAATCAGCCTCAGCAATATACTGAGGTTCTAAGCAACTTAGCAAGACCCTGTCTCAAAATAAAAACTAAAAAGGTCTGGAAATGTTTCTCAGTGGTTAAGGACTCCTGGATTCAATCCCTGATATCCCCTACAAAAAAGAATGCAAATGTTTAATGCAGCTGTAGTCATAATTGCCCAAATCTGAAAGTAGTGGTAAAATTAACTATGGTAAATGTGTAAAATGATATGCTAGTCAGCAATATAAAGGAAAAAAAACTATTAATAAATGTAACAACTTAGATGGATCTCAGATGTACTAAATTGACTGCAAGGGGCCATTCTCAAATACACATTTTATGAATCCATTTATTGTGGAGAGTGGTGATTTGATTCATGACCTCTGATTCGCTCCTGGCTGCATTGTGCTGGGAGCTGCTTGTGCAAAAGCGCAGGTCAAGATGGCTCAGTTGCTATGGTGATGCTGGTACAGGGAGGCTATGTGCAAAGGCACATAGCAGTTGTCAGCTGAGGCCTTGAGTTCAGATAACAATTCCCAGGAATAGAGAATTCTGAGCAAAACAAGATGACCCTAATATCTTGTCAATCCTGCATCTTTCAGATTGCCTGCTTTGCTGGAAATTTCTCACAAATTACCATTTGATGAAACCTATATAATAAACGTGCTGAGCTAGCTCTGGGTCTTCCCATTTACTTTCTATGTGTGTCTATTTGTCTTTTCTTCAGCCCCAATTGTGAACAAGGGTCTGGTTTCTGAATTAATGAATGGCCCAGGAGTGAGTCCTGGGCAATTTATGACCTTGTTAAAAGGATAAAATTATAGTGATGGGAATATATCAGTGTTTGCCAGGGGTTAGGAGTGAGCAAAGTATATAACTTTTATAAAGGGATGACATTAGAGAGTTTGGATAATGATTCTATATCCTGATTAGAACACAGTTTATACAAACCCATGCATGTGTTAAAATTCATAGAAAACTTTAAACCAAAAGCCAACTCTATTAACTGTAATTTAAATATTAATTTAAAGTGACACAAGCAATGCATTCATTTTAGGGACTATGGTAAGCATAAATACACACACACACACACACACACACACAAACTGCATGATCAACAAAAGTGACATTTGGGCTGGGGATGTGGCTCAAGCGGTAACACGCTCACCTAGCATGTGCAGGGCGCTGGGTTTGATCCTCAGCACCACATAAAAATAAAATAAAGGTGTTGTGTCCACCAAAAACTAAAAATTAAATATTAAAAAATTTTCTCTCTCTCTCTTTAAAAAAATAAGTGACTTTCAATGTTTTCAACAGAAATAAATGATAGTTGATTGAGGAGAAAGAGATGTATGCCCTAGTTTATTGTGACATAATGCATACTATGTATCAAAAATCTCATATGGTACCCCATAAATATGTACAAATTTACATGTAAATTTTTAAAAAATATATTAAAATTTAAAAAATGGAGAGGTCAAGACAACTAGTTGGCTTGGATTGGACTGGATGAACTCTGAAGCCTCTTCTAGTTCCTGAATTTCAATGATTTGCAGAAATTTCAAAAAAAATATTCAAAATGTATATTCATATTGAACATATATATAAATTTCATTATACAACAGAATATTCTAAGTGCCATCACTATCTGTAGAGTATATCTTTGTAGCTAGGCTCTCTTTTATAGCAGCAAATGAAATTCCCATGCTACTTTTAGAACTGACAAATTCACTAACAAAGAAAATACTTTGCAAAAATGAATTTTTCCATTTTTGTCATATTCCTCATCTATATGCTCTGAAGTGGCACACAAAAGTCTCTCTACCAAAAGTGTCATTCTCAGTCATATCTAAGAAGTAGAAGATTTGGACTGGTGTCTCTAAAAACATTTGTTCCTCAGACATGCTAAAAATGAGTACCTAGCAACATAAACATTTCTTTAATGCAAGTTCCTATAACCCTTTTATATGTTTTTGTACCATGCCATTACTTGTATGTGGCTTCATAACCATTACAATTTTTTGGTTTTTGCATTTTTTTTTCCACATTCTACTCCCCAAAAACTCCTCAAAAAAAGAAACTATTTTATTTATACTTGTACTTGCCACAGTGCCTAGAATGGCTATAGGCTATGGAAAATAGTTAAATTCATAGGGAACGAGAAAATAAAGTGGAATACAACTACTCTGTGTTTAATGTGAAAAATAAATGAGATGATATACTTCAAAGTCTGAAAAAGAGCAAAAACTCAATATTTTGCTTTTCTCATTCCTTGTATGATTTCAATGAACTTATTTAAAATTTTAAGCAAATCCATTAATGATAAAAATGGCAAGCATTACCAGCTTTAAGCAGAAAAAAGATATTTCTCTTTCCAACTAATTTTAATCTAAATAAATAAAGCAGCTAACTTCTTTTCAAAGACATTGCCATAGACACACCAGAAACAATATAATTGTTTTGGCTGGAATTAAGATGAAGAAATATAAAGCTACCTGGGAGTGGTGGCACATGCCTGAATCCCAGTGGCTTGGGAGGCTGTGGCAGGAGAAGTGTGAGTTCAAAGCCAGACTCAACAAAAGCAAGATGCTAAGCAACTTAGTGAGACCCTGTCTCTAAATAAAATACAAAATAAGGGTGGGGAGGTGGCTCAGTGGCCAAGTACCCCAGAGTTCAATATCAGTAACCCTCCCCCTCAAAAAAAGATTGCAGAAATATAAAGTCAATTGTATGTCTAAAGTTTCTATTTTCTGTGGATGATTCAAACATTTGCTTCTTACTAGAAGTCATAATAATACAGTTGCTTAGTATTAATATAGTGGGCAAATGACTACATGCGAGAGAAATGACTATACACACGCAGATTTGGAGATGATGGTGAAAGGAATAGTATAGATTTTAGGTGATCTATTTTAATAAACAATAATTTAAATTGTTTCATTACCCCACGGTACTGGCTTTCATTGAAAATCTGAGGTGGCAGGGGGTATCCTGTGGCTGGTCGACTATTTTCAGGTACATTTTCTCTCATCCACTTCCGATTCTCTTCATTGGCCGCAATATCTTTTTCTTCAAATCCTATTTTGTTGGCTTCTAAGAAACCAAGCACATCTTGCTGTTTCTTCTTAATCTAGGACACAAAGGACAAGAAATCATACTTCTGAGCAAATAGTTTTTGTAGTTTTTATTTTTCTAATTTGACAAAAGTTGGTTTGTGAAATAGCAGAAATGAATTCAAACATGGACCAAAATTTATGATTTCACAGAAAATATGGTTTTCCCTTTTTATTTAGTAGTTTTGCTGTGGTTTCTTTTTTTTTTTCCCTTGGGTACTGGGGATTGAACCCAGGGGTACTTAACCACTAAGCCATATTCCCAGCCCTCTTTTGTATATTTTTAAATCTAGAAACAGTGTCTTGCTGAGCTGCTCAGGGTCTTTCTAAATTGGTGAGGCTGGCTTTGAACTAGCAATCCTCCTGCCTCAGCCTCCTGAGTTGCTAGGATTATAGATATGTGCCACTGCACCCCGCTTTATTTACTGTTTTTGTTAATGATATCTCACAAGTGGCTTGAGTACCTTTTAGCAGGTCATTTCATTAGTTTCACTTTCTTTTTCCCACTGAAAATTCCCATAACAATGCTAAAACATATATAGCTGGTACATATCAATAACTGTAAGAAGTACAGTTGATTCAAAAGTGTGTGTAGTGGGAAGCTATATTTTCTCATTTTCTACAAGCATTTTTTAGTTTTAGCCCTTGTCAAAAGTCTACAAAAAATAACCTCAGTTTACTTACCATCTTAACAAGCATCATATACTCATCAGAAATGAATCTTTCCTTGAGAATAACGCAAACCTCAGAGTTATCTAAGTCTCATTTTATTGTGCAGAACAGAAATAAAATAAGAAATATAAGAATTAAGCCTGCCTGTAGACTAAGTTTGGAACACACCCATGCCACTAATTAGCCAAATGGGCTGCTAAGATAACTTTCATATTTATCTGTGTTATTTCTTTAACTGAAAAATACCTAGGAAAGAATTTTCAAAATAGTAAAATCAATTCTTTTTAGTTAGGTTTCTCTTTTGATGTCCATTCATGGAGAACCTGGATTCACCTATATATGATAGTTTGCCCATATTAAAAATCCTTACTTAAAATTATCAAGACACAGAGAACAATCAGTAAGTTTCTTCATGGAGTCACACAAAAGACACATGAGATAGAAGCATCAAAAATCAATGTAAACCCAGCATGGTGTGCACATCTGTAATCCCAGAAACTCAGGAGGCTGAGGTAAGAGAATCACTAGTTCAAAGCCAGCCTCAGCAAGGCCTTAGGAAGACCCTGTCTCAAAATAAAAAAATAAGAAGGTCTGGGTTTGTGGTTCAGTGGTTAAGTACCCCTGGGTTCAATCCTTGGTACAAAAAAAAAATTAAATTATATATAAAGAATTGGTCCTGTCAATTGGAATCAAAATGCAAAATTAAAAAGCTCACAGGTGCCAGGTGTGTGGTAGCACAGGCCTATAATTCTAATGACTCAGGAGGCTGAGACAGGAGAATTTCAAGTTTAAGGCCAGCCTCATAAATTTAGCAAGAGTCTTTCTTTAAAAAGAAAAAAAGCTGTGGGTGTAGCTTAGGAGCAGAGCACCTCTGGGTTCAATCAAGAGTACTGAAGAAAAGAAGAATGAATGAAATTCACAGTCAAGTCCCCTCTCTACGATTTACACCTCCCACTCCCCCCACACATGTATATGTGCACATAGAGGTTGTATTTTTGTACAAGTTGCATGTGATTGTGGATAATTAGTCTCTTTCTCATCTCATAACACCAGGTTAAAAAAATTCTCAAATTCTTCCAACAGAAACTGGAATTTCTAAAGATTATTTGGATAAGAATACTGAATAACCTTCTTTAAAAATAAGCCAATCCCCCCAAACCAAAGGCCAAATGTTCTCTCTGATATGCAGATCCCAACACAAAATGAGGGCCAATATAAGTTCATTGGATTAGAAAAAGGGGAATGAAGGGAAGGGAGAAAGTATGGGAATAGGAAAGACAGAAGAATGAATCACATATAACATTCCTATGTTCATATATGAATAAAGTGGCAGTGTAACTCCATGTCATATTCAACCACAAGAATGGGATCCTAAAGAATAAGTTATACTCCATGAATATTGAATGTCTAAATACATTCCACTGTCATCTATATCTTAAAAAAATAAAAAGGAAAAAAGATAAGCAATAATTCATCATAATTTACTACTAGGTAATATTCTTAATGGGAATGTTATCTCCTCACTGGCGTATATAAATGAAAGTAAACTTTCATTCCTAAATATAACATATATTTTCTTTTGCACTTTGAAGAAAGTCAGTGTAAAGAATCAGTATCCACTGAACTAGTATACTTGATGAAAGGTTCAGTTAAATTGGTGATTTTCAACCTTAAGAGCAGGAGAATTCAGTCTATGTAATATGTCAAGTAATTTTCAATTATCAGTATATTTACAAATTTGAGTAGATATAAAGATGTCCCATTAATGTGATACACTCAGGAACCCAACATTCCAACAGATTTTTAGGAGGATTAAGAGTTAAGATAGCTAAAGTGCTAAGAATTCTATATGAACCTGGGAGAATACCATCTGTCATGTTTATGTGAAGAAAGGGCAAAAGGCCTTTAAGATAATAAATGACCCTTTGAGGCCTTTCCCACTTTATTCAATGCTTGCTATGTTGAGAATATGGTGTTAAGATGGTGGCCTAACCTGGTATCATAAGCATGATTATATACCTTCTCTGTTATCTTTACCTTCCATCCATAAGCTCTGTACCACAGGTATTTCTCCTATGCTCTGAGATTGTCTGATTACAATAACACATGCTTACTAAAGTACTCTAAATCTCTCTAGGCTGAACAGAATATGCCATAATCATAATTTGTTAATATGTCTGCCATGGCAAACATGAACATTTGTTCAGCTTCGACTCTTCATAGAATGTTAAAAAACAAACAACTGTTTCTTAACTTAATCATATATGTAAGTACAAAATTTCACAAATTTATTTTTTCCAAGAAGGGTTATTCTATCTATAAAGACTTACTGCACAGTGGCACACTCCTGTAATCCCAGCAACTCGGGAGGCTAAGGCAGGAGGATCACAAACTCAAGGCCAGACTCAGCAGAAGTGAGGTGCTAAGCATCTCAGTGAGACCCTGTCTCTAAATAAAATAGAAAATAGGGCTGGGGATGTGGCTCAGTGGTCGAGTGCCCCTGAGTTTAGTCCCTGGTACCGCCCCCACAACCCCCAAAAGATGCTGCCTCTTTGCTACATCTATAGATATATGTTTTCCACAAAACTCCCGTAGACAGGAGGCATCTATTGATGCTAAGTAGTTGTCTAATTTCTGTAATGGAACTTGAAATAAAATATACAATGAACAGATATGAATAAAAACTAAATGTTGCCATGAAGAATAAAAATGGATGCCATAAGGGTTAGCTAAGGAATAATTTAAATTTCCTACAAAAATAACTTTGGCTTATTTCACTTAGTATAAATTAAAAAAAAGACAGGGGAATAAATCTGACACAACTTCCCTATATACATATATAAATACACCACAATGAATCTCTATATCATGTACAACCACAAGACTGGGATCCCAATTAGAATAAGATATACTCTGTTTGTATAAATATGTCAAACTTTACTGTCATGTGTATCTAAAAAGAATGAGTAAAAAATGATTTTAGAGTAAAAGGCTTTTGATAAACTTTTTAGCATACAAATGCATTTTAAAGTGTACAATGGCACTGTCCAGGAATCTAAGGCAATCTTTTTTCAAAGAGTAAACCACACTCCTTACCTCCACCCAAAGTATGTCAAGTCATTTCTATATACATGTCAGATTTGAAATTCAAAGTATTCTCCCCTCTAAAACTTTAGATAAGGCAAAAGGGAGGGAGGGGAAAGGAAGGGGCATGGGGGTAGAAAAGATGGTGGAATGAGATGGAAAAAAACCATTTTTCTTTCCTCCAAAGATAAAGAGCTGGGATATTGAAAAATTGTTGCTTGAATGAAACAACTACCATCCAATAAGCTTCAATAAGATCTGTGTCTTTCATGCCAAGGGTCAAGTTTCTTTTAAAGATAAGAGACTGACAAGGTTTCTGCTTCAGAAGGGTACTGGTATTAATGTTCCAAATACTAAAGGAAGAAAAAAAAGTTACTATAATACTTCAAAGGAAAAAAGAAGAGATAATTTGCATGAAAGAAAAGTGCTAACCTACCACAAAACAAATCAAAGTGAGGATTTTGCCTTGTTTTATAATCTACCTGTTATATTTCTCTACTGACACTTTAATAAATAATGACAGAGGTTATGACTATTCTCTAAATGATAGTCAGAAATTATACTTAGTAGTTAACAATATTTCTTGGGTGCTTTTTTGGTGGTACCCCAAAATTTTTACTAGGTACCCTGTAATGTCTAAAGAAAAATATCAGTTATATCTCCCCAATATTACAATGTGGTGGGTAAGATTAGACTAAGACATATTTAAAAGTTCAATTACAACATGGTATTTAAAATTGTAGCTAAGGTAACAATAATAGATAATTAAATAAGAGGGGCCCAATGAAGAACAAAGCCAATGAGAGAACTGAGAGCAAGTATTTATTGCTGTTAGCAATGCGACTTAGACTAAGCTTAGAAATGATGGCACAAATGCTTAATCCTCCACCCATGTTGCAAGTAATCTATACTTTAAGTGAAAGGTAAATATGTTCAGTAAAGATTAATACCCAGCTACCCAGAAGGCTAAGGCAAAAAGATGCAAATTTAAAAGTCACCCTGGGAAACAGAGAAACTTTGTGTCAAAACTAAATTTTAAAGAAAGGGCTAGGGGTATAGCTAGGTGATAGAGAACATGCTTAGCATGCACCATGTACTAGGTTCAATGCCTAGCACCCCCTGGCTACACACATAGCTTACTAAAACTGCTCAAATGTGAATACTGAGCTCATAAAGGTGACAGCATAAGGTACTAGAACAATAATGTGTAGTTTTCCAAAATAAAGTTGGAAAGTTTCTAAATTGATGTTCATAATCTCTG